GTCAGTGAATAGGCCTTGCAGCTCCAGTGCACAGACTATGAGTGATCCAGCAAATCCTCCTCTCCTCTCCTCTCCTCTCCTCTCCTCTCCTCTCCTAGAAGGGAAAATTGGATTCTGTCCATGTCCATAATGAGGAGAATAAATAGATAGCTCAATAAACACTTTGCCTCTTATTGCTTCTCCTCCCCTTTACTCCCCATCCCCTCCCTCGCTTCTTCTCACTGCGTTGCACTACTCCTCCTCCCTCCTGCCCGTCGTTCTCCTTCTCTCCAGTTTTTCCTCACACACTCATGCAGTTTGCCTATGTCTGCGAAGCTCAGCAAAAATGTTGTAGGTGCATGTGTGTATTCAGAATGATTGTGTTTTATTTGCATCTGTGTGTGTGTGTGTGTGTGTGTGTGTGCTTACATGCGCTTGTGTGTGCGAGTGTGCACCGTCTCATGAATATTCTGTTTCGTCTGCTGGTACTGTGACAATGACAGAGTTAATGACAGTGACAGATGTAGAGATCGTTCTCTACTGCTCCACCCTCGTGTGTGTGTGTGTGTGTGTACGATTAAGCAGGAACACTAGTATACATCAAATTAACTGCACAGCTAATATCATAAATATCACCACTATTCAAGGCATGGTTTCATCATACTGGAAATAGATCCGTTCAGCACACAGCATGTTTTTATAACACTGTGTCAGCCGCTATGCAGCTGCTGTGTGACGTACCAATCTAAACCGAAACAATCCGTCTCTGTGCAGGTGAAGACATGCTGACCTTTGACCTCCACAGTCTGGCTACGCTGGCGGCCGCCCGTGCCCTGGAGATGGGGGGAGAGGTTATGGATGCGGGGGCGGGCCGACAGTGTCCAATCAGGAAGAGGCTCAACCTGCGCAGGAAGTGCAGCTGGACGCCTCGCCATGAGCCGGTGAATGCGCAGTTTGTGTTTATGCATGCAAACATAAATCATTCATGCTAAAATGTTGGGAAGTGTCAAACAATGGGCACAGACTTCAATTGTTTTTTTTAACTAAGCCTAAAAAAACTGTTACAGGGAGTAGGAGGTCACTTTTTACATTTTAGGATTTGATCTGAATATTCCAAACACCAAACAACTAAAAAATTAGGTCATCTTTAGTGATGCAAATATGAACATCAAAATCATCCATATGTACCCAGATGATTTGAGTTTTTCATGCAAACACTGTAGTGTATGCTACTGTGTGTTGAGTCAGACAAATATCCTTATGTTAACCATTCCTGTCCAGCTCCAGTAACAATTACTTTAATGGAAACAACAACTATAGCTTTTAATTGAAATGAGAAGTGAAATTATTTGTTATGTGGTTGAACTTTGCAGTTTTGAGCAGAAATCAAAAGGTAAACATTTTCACAAAATGTGATTTTAATTAGCAAAAAATATTTTTTTATTGATTCCATAACAAGTGAAGGTGATTTTAGACTATGAACACCTGCTGTGGATGGATCAACATTTTTATTTTCTTTAAATAGTCGCAGAAATAAAGCTGGCTACAGTAAATATATATTAAATATTTAATTAAAATTGTATTAAAATAAATACAATTTTATTAAAACATTTAAATATAAATTGATCTACAATTACTAAAATAACTATTTATATATAAGTATATTTACTTTTGTTAATGCTAGTTACCTATGTTATCATGTTTGCAAATATTTTTACATATAGCACCAGGTCAATCTCAAAGAAATCCTTGCTTTTAAGCGTAAATGCAGCTGGTCGACATACTTAAACTGCTGTAGTGACCAAACCTGCGAGCTTCTGGTTTCAGGAAAATCCCTCCAATCATCAAGCTGCCCAAACACAAGCAGGCTACTTCACATATCCACTGGCTGTTGAACTCAGTTTGTGTTTTGGCATCAGCATTAAAATTTTCCTGCTGTGTGTGTGTGTGTGTGTGTGTGTGTGTGTGTTCGTGTGTGTGTATTCATGTATGTGTGTGCGTCAGGTGTGCCCAGTGAAAGGCTCCATGGAGACGATGGGAGGGGAGGAGCTGGCCATGCGTGTCCAGCTGGCTGAGCTACAGCGCCGCTACAAAGAGAAACAGAGGGAACTGGCCAAGCTACAGAGGAAACACGACCACCAGTGAGCAGAGACAACACGCACACACACACACACTCTTTTTGTCTAGATTGAGTCGTGCATTCCAACATTCACAATTCTGCTGTCATGCTGCATCGTCCTGATTTATCAGGACTTGCTGCCTGCTCATACCAAATGCAGTTTGACCTGTAGCCGATACAAGTTTCCCCCTGATTTCTCCTGCTGTCCAGACTGTAACTTTGATCTCTCTCTCTTCCCATCTCTCTCTCTTTCTGTCTCTCTTCCTCCTCCCTCTTCTTGTCTTTCCCTCTGCAGGAAAGAAGAGACGTCTCGTAGCCCTGCCCGCCGGGGGCCCGGCCGCCCCCGCAAGCGCAAGTCCACCCCCGGCCCAGCTGCTGCAGAGAACTCTAAAAGACTCAGGTCAGCCCTCTGATATTGCGTCAGTATAATCAGTGTGATTGGCAAGCCCAGCTCATTCATCCTGATTTCTGTTTGTGTTTTTAGTGAAAGGCACGGTTGATTTTCAAGAAGTTCTTCTTCAGCTGAATTGATTCAAATGCTCTATAGCTGATGATTTGCTTGATTGGGCACTGGAAGGAGCTGCTCGCACACACACTCTCTCTCTCTCTTTCTCTCTCTCTCTCTCTCTCTCACACACACACACACACACACACATACACACACACAAAATGGGTCATGTGAGCTGTAAGATGGTTGTGATTTTAAATGAGAGAAGGTAATGGAGATGAGGCCTTCATTAATCACTTTTAATCATATTTATCACTTGCATTGATTATGCCCTGATTCCCTGTGAACCTCCAGCATATATTAATGCAGCTGGACAAAGTCCTGATGTACAGTTATTACAGTGATAAACGACTTAACACCCCCCACCCACCCGCTGCAGCACACAACCACACATTATTTAACACCTTCGATGTGCACACGTTCATGCTGACACACATTCCTGCACAAAGTGGAAAGCACACTCACACACAGCCAGTATTCAACACTCATAATGATAAATGTGTTTTCTCATGCTGCCCCACCTCTGTTAGCATGTGCACCCTTCGCCTTGATAAAATGATTAGAGAAACTCAAGGTTTGTCACGGTTACCATGATTAGAAAGCGCTAATGAAAATGACAATGAAAGGCTTTAGTCATACATGCTGGTGCACCACACACACACACACACACACACATAACTTGTTTAATTAGTAGTGCTGTTGGCTACGTGCCGGAGCAGCATTTCTGTTGTTATTAACAAGCATGCATAGTTTGTTTATGCTTTCATCTTCTCGTGGGAGTTGTTGGTTGAAATGAAACAGTGAAAGAGTGGGAGATAGAGAGGCGGAGTAGTGTTTCCAAACTCAACAGACGATTCCTCACATGTATACTCTATATGCCCAAAAGTATGTGGACACCTGAAATGTGATCATTGCATTCCAAAACCATTAATGTGAGATCTGCTGCTGCTGTTGGACCATAAATGCTTGCTTGAAACAAACAAGTCTGACTGATGTGTCGTCAAACCAGACCTTGAGCCAAACATGTTTAAAACCACTCTTGAAGGCAAGGTGAATAGGAATAACAACGCACAGACATTTGGACAGTCTCTCCTTGAAGGCATTCATGGTGTTGCGCTTACACGAAAAGTGATGGAAACAGTTGTGTGGAGAGAAAAAAAAAGAGAGCTTGGGAGTGAAGTTTTAACCCTGCTTACTATCCCACCTCTACTCATCTGGCCAGTCGCTGTGTGAAGCGGGCGTGATTGTTGATTTTCCGAAAGTTACAAAAATAGCAGGATGCAACCCCTGTTCATCCCAAAGGTGCTGGATGGAGTTGAGGTCAGGGCTCTGTGCAAGCCAGTCAAGTTCTTTAACAAAAGAAAATGGGAAAATTATCCCTTTGTGTACCTGGCTTTGTGCATGAGGGCATTGTGATATTGAAACAGGAAAGGGCCTTTCCCCAAACTGTTGCCACAAAGTTGGAATGACACTATTGTATTGTATTGGCCCTAGCCCAAACCATGAAAAACAGCCTTCTCCAGACCAAAATTATGCAAGTTTCTGCACATATACATATGTTTTGGCCATATACTCTAGTGTACAGAACGTACATTGCCATGCATTGATGAGGATGTGACATGAGGTAAACTTTGCGGCTTAGAAGCTCAGAGGGGTCAGAAGTGAACAGGCAAGGAGGAATTGCAACAGACAGATGGGGTCTGGATGGATGGACGAACATCTTTCAGATATTTGTAGATCATTTTTTTAGATATATAGCTCTTTTCCCTTCCTTTCTTTTTTCTCTCCTCTCTTCTGCTCTCCCGGGAGCTGAGACGCTGAGAGCAAAACCTTCCCTCTGTGGGAATATAGGATTCACCTGCCTTAGACACCAGCTGCTAACAGAGTGTGTGTGTGCTGGCTGCCTGTGGTGTGAGAGAGCATGCATGCAATGAAGGAATGACAGAGAGAGAGAGAGGGAGGAGTATTGTTCAATAGAGGTTAGTGTTTATTGATCGAGCCCTGAAGCTCCGGTCAACGGACAGACTCCCCCGAGACTGCTTCATCTCTCCCTCTGTCTCTTTCCCTTCCCCCTCAACTATTTGCCTCCTCCCTCTGTCTCTCTCTCTGTCTCTTCTGCACCCTCCTTCACACCAGATAATTCTTATCCTTTCATGTGGTGAGCTTCATATTCACACGGCCGCTGAATATTTCTGTGTTTGCCGTCAAACTGTGCAGACGGTCGGCAGAGCCTGTCTCTTACCTCATCAAAGTTATGAGACAGAAAAGAAGAGTGGGAAGAGTGGGAGACAATGAATGAACTCGGCAGATAGGGAAGTGAAACTAGAAAGAAGACACAGAGCGGCAGAGTTACAGAGAAAATCCTCCTTAAAAGGAAAGAAACGTGTGATCAGATTGATTCTGTGATCCCTTTTATATATGATAAATTCTCATTTAAGTGCGCCTCCGCTGTGTTTTTATGTTTTCCAGGACCGGGCTGAATTTACTGGAGCAAAAACCCAGGAAGAAAATGTCCAATCACGGCTTCAACAGTCTCAGCTCTGTACAGGTTGGTCTCTCTGCGGTCCCTCCTTGTTTATCCCCACACACAACCACTTCCTGCTGCTAATGTTTTTTTTCCTTTCCTGGATGTTTTAATTAGGAAAGAAATGAGTCAATAATTAGCTGTTCCGCTCCTCCCCTACAGATGAAAGCTCGCTGTAAGCACAGAGGGCGGCCCAGCACCCTGAGCTCCAGGCTGGCCAGGAGGGTGACCCAGCTGAAGCAGAAGGCTGCAGCCCAGCGTGGTGCACCGTCAGCAGGCATGCTGCACTGCAGAGGGACCCATGGTGAGGAAGACGCCTCCAGGAGTCACTGCAGACAAGGAAGAAAAGGTGGGTACAGAGGGGACATATATGCACACATTTTCTGTCCATTAAGTAGCATTCTAAAACTATCCCACACTGTTGATCCATCAGACCTGCATCAAGACTGGGCAGCTGGTCAGACTGTAAAGAGGAAGAGGGGTCGAAAGCCCAAAGTGTTGATGGGCGTAAACCCGAAGAGAGCTCACTACAAGGATGGCCGGGCCACTGAGAAACAGGAAGTTAGGGAAGAGAAGAGTGACATCGAGAGCTCAGACTGTGGTGAGTTACAGTACAGGTCACACACAAGGATTTTCTCAGTGTAGTCTGGTGTTTTCCTCCAGCCAACCAGCTAAACAAGGATCCTGCAGATGATTCCTTGGCTATAAAGAATGAAAATGTAAAATGTCATCAATGGCCTTTTATTTTACCATGTTTTTTGAAAAGAAATGTTCCAATGTCCACCATCAGTGCTGGTAAAATATTTGTAATGCAGATACAAAGCTCCTATGAGATTTGCTATCAAGAGTTCATTGGCTGTTACACATATGAGTTAAGCAGTGCTGATTTGGCTGATGGCTTAAACATCAACCAGACATTGTGAGATTTCACTTTGAGAGTACGTCTGTGTGTGTGTGTGTGTGTGTGTGTGTGTGTGTGTGTGTGTGTGTGTGTGCGCGCATGAAGCTTCTGAGAGTGAGATGTCTGCCATCATCAGGGGGCCACCTCTCACTTCCCATCTCGTCTGTCAAACCGTTAAAACCGTTAACGACTTACCACAGGCATGCAACGCTGCCACCCCTGCCCTCAACGCCATACGGTAACGTGAGCCCACTCTGGCCCCGTTCAGAATGTCACACCCCCGGTTCTCCCCTCATTTCTTCACCTCCCTCGTGAAAATGCCCTCCGTGGAGGCTTGAGTTGAGGAGAAACAATGACGAATGCCTTACAGGAGAGGACAGTTTGATCTGACACTAACAAAACCTCCGGAAAACGCTAGAATCTGACCTGGCCTTAGGGAAGTAGTGTGTGTGTGTGTGTGTGTGTGTGTGTGTGTGTGTGTGTGACCCAGGCAAAGTGTTGACCAGAACGCCATATTAGTGACAAGTGTGTCAGAGATGTGTCGACACCCGACACGACACTCGCAGCCAGCGACACACAGCTGCCAATAACAATCTGTGTGTGTGTGTGTTTGTGTCTGTGCACATGCAGCGCTGCATATGTGCATGTGTGTCAATGTTTGCTTCACTGCAGTTAAAGAACAAGCCTTGCATTATTGTGCAGCTATTACAACAGGTTTGATCAATCAATGGCAACATTCCCCTGTTCTAACTTTTGTATTTACAATAATATAAGTTTAGCCGCAGGCCTGTGAACTGAACTGTAGATGCTAGAGGAATATTGAAAGCTTGCTGTCAATACATCTCATCAAGCGAGTCCCTGGCTTTAGTTAACTGTGTTTACATTTAGCTCACTTGAAGCTTTCTGACTGATCATATTGATGTGTTGATTCCACAGAGGAGGAGGAGGACGGCAGCTACGACAGTGAAGATGGAGTCGGTGACATCAAGATTACCTCATCCTCTAAAGAAGCTCCTGCAAACCCTGCCGGGATTGTGCCTTTTTCATCGCAGTCCTCCAAGCTCCAAGCAAATCAGAAAGCCAGGAGTAAGAGACCAGGGCCTGCTGGTGAGAGCTTTATACATGTCTATGCTGATGTGATTTTTGGTTTTTGACTTGAAGTGAAGGATAGCTTGAATTGCTTCAGAAAAGTTTCAGAATCTAAAAGGATAATAATAAAGACTGATTTCAGGTTGGAGGTGCAAGGTTTTCCCCCAACTAGTAATATCATTAACTATTTTTTGTAGGATTATGGATGGTTGAGCAAGCAAAAGTATTTCAACTAATTGTTATGTGGCCTCCAAGACAAGGAAAAGACTGTATCTATGTTTCTATTAAACAAGACCTCTGAACATATCTAATCTAACATCAGATATTGACATGTTTGCAATGTATCTGCCAGCTCTAATTTCTATGATGTCTCCTTCATTCTCAGACATGGGGAGCATGCCCAGTACAGATCAGAGGAGAGCACCCAGAAGGCCGAGCCTCTCCAACACAGAAAGAGGACGCCCAGACCACCAGCGGACTAAAAAAGCATATCCGCCCAGCTGGGGTGTGTCATCAGTAGGCTGCAGCTTTGGGGATGGCCGCGGGAACCATGGAGCTCTGACAGAAGCAAACAGGGCCGGCAAGGAAGCTTTGAGAAACAGCTCAGCAGCAGAGGGCATTCTGGGAAAGGTGAGACGGTGACAGCAATATTTTACTTTTACTTTATACTAGTCAACCAAGTAAATTACTCCCTGACAACAGCAATTTATGGCATGACTATATCACCATGTTACACCCTTAAAACTGGCATTTGCATCTTGCATTTCCCTCCTCAGCTGCTTCAACTGTGCATGGCTGTGTAAATGATCAGGGGAACTAGACTGTATTTCTGTTCCCCCAGCAAATGTCCTGGGCATAATACGTTGATCACATTTATCATATTCTCCTGTGCTCCAAGAAAGAAGTCATGCAACAAACTAGGATCTAGGAGCTAAACTTATAAAGACAATTGTTCATTGATTAATATCAAGCAGGAACACTTAAATGCTCTTCAAAAGTTAAACATCCTTTTAAGGGTCCTTCACAGCTGTTTTGTTTCCCCTGATCATTGACACAGAAGTGCATGGGAACTGAGAAGGGAAAGGGGAGATGCAACTGCCGTTTTTAGAGGTGTGATGGAAAGGATATGTCATCAGTATCACAATAAATTACTGCTGTCACCGAGTTGTAAGGGATTAGTTCATGAGCAAAAAGGCACATGTCTGTTTTTATGTTATGAACCCAACAGTGCTCAGGACTGGAAATGTGAGTAAAACAGCAAAGGTGACTCATGGTCACTCCCTTTGGCGTTCTGGTTAGCAAAGGCTGAGAAGGAGAGAAGCAAGGAGTAATTTTGAAAAGCCCTCACCTTGTTTTCACTCCTTCCTTGTTGATGTGAGCCACACCTTGCCAGGAAGTTTTAACATCCCATAGATTACAAATGACTACCTTCCAGGGAGATGCTTAGCATCAGCTGTAAATCAGTCACTTTGTCAAATATACCATTTGCTCTTGTTATAGGTGTGTGTTTGCATGCCTAACTGCTGTGCTAACACACCACTGGCCTGTTGTATCCATGCAAGCAGCCGTTGGCGAGACACCACGTTCATTTTAATGAGAAATACCCTGAGGTTATCTTCGTCTTTGAGTCATTGTGAGGGAATGTCCAAAAACACATAACTTCAAACCAAACAGAGAACGATAATCATTCCCTACACACACCCAGGCATGCCTCCACACACACACACACACACACACACACACACACCACCACCACCACCACCACCACTAAAGACCAAAGAACACTAAAGGGAAATACTCACTCATGCCCTCTGGAGATGAAACTTCTGTCATTAAAATATATGGTCTCCTGATGTGGAAAACTCTAAAAGACAACACATGCACACACATCATCTCTCTTGCACTGAATTTTTTTTTTTCTTTGGAAAGCCTAAATACAAGCAGAAACCTGTTGGGCAAGCTGACTTTCCATCATCAGTCATCAATCATCTTTAGATAGACTAGCCTAAACCGGTCTTGAGATGGATAGTATCTGGTGTGTGTGTGTGTGTGTGTGTGTGTGTGTGTGTGTGTGTGTGGGTGTGTGTGTGTGGGTGTGGGTGGGTGTATCTGAAGATGAGAAAGTAAATTAAGGTTCAAGTTTCTATATTAGCAGGTATTCACCCTGTTGAATTGTCCTTGGGCAAAACACTAAAGTCCTACCAGTTCAAGAGCTGCAGTTATTACTGACTGTGACCTCTGAGTAAACAGTAACAAGGGAGAAAAAAAAATCCCACAGGCTTAATCGAAGTATCACATTACAAGAGGCGTTGGCGCCTGTGGTTGCTTTTCACTGATGGATTCACCACATCAGTCACATCAGACTTGATTCAGTCACCTGCAGATCCTGTTTACTGTGGATTAATTTGGGCATATAATGAAGTCATACCATATCCTGCTTTCTGCCCACTGATGTCACATCCTGTTTCCTGTCCAGGCCAAGGGCCACGCAGTCAGCCGGCTCCTGCAGAGCTTTGCTGCTGACGAAGGCTTTCGGCTAGATGAGGAAAGCAGCTTCTCAGAGGGCGAGGAGGAGGAAGAGGAGGAGGAGGAGGCGAAGGAGAAAATGTTGATCCACCTCCCTCCCAACATGCCTCGCAGAATTCCCGGTAGGCATAAACAGTAACACATCATTTACAATTACACACACACACATGCAGGTTTTAAAAGCATGTTGGATCCTTTTCACACATGCATACGCAACTCTTTCTCTGCCTTCTTGTCCCTCCTTTTCACTTCACTTCGCAATTATTCAACACACTCACAAATGATGTATATCTCACCTTTTATCTTCTCCATCCATCCATCTTTCTACCACGCCCTCCCTCCGCAGCACTGCCAAACTGTGTGCTGAGTAAAGAGATGTTGGTGGATGGGCTGAAGATTCTGATCTCAAAGGAAGATGAGCTGCTGTACGCTGCTTGTGTCCACACTCTGGACCTGCCTGACATGTAAGAGTTCAGGGTTTCCCACAGTGTTTTATAGCAGAGTTGGTCCACCTTGCGTAAAACAAAGACCACCACAAAAACATTAATACTCCTTTATGAAATAAAACATTAACCTTCCAGGGAAAAGAGCAGAGGGATTATTTCACACAGCCATATAGACTATAGGCTATTGATACCAGGACAAGAAGCATCAAAGTCCAGGTGGATAACCACCTCTGCAAAAATTTCCCGGGGAAAACCCTGGAGTAAAAAGACATATTGCAATAAGAGTCTGGTCTGATTTACAAAAGAGTTAAAAAACTTAGCTTAGCGCTAGTTAAATGCCGGGCAGCTGTGAGAATCTTGACAAACAAGAAGTCTGGACATCTTCAAAGCCAAGACACGCAGCAGTAGAAGCCAACACAGCTGCCAGTGAAAAAAAGAGAGCACTCATGACAAAAAACCCTATTTTAAAAAAGACAACCTTGAAATCTAAGAATGAAAATCATGCTAAAGTTAGAACTTACAAATTAAAAATGAGGAATTTTATTTTTCATGAATTTGCCTTTCCCGTTTCTTCTCTTAGATTCAGAGTTGTCATCGAAGGGGAACGAGGAAATCATCCCCGGATCTACTCACTGGAACAACTACTGCAGGAAGCTGTGAGTTTCTGTCTTGAGGCTCTGTTGCATCTATTACATTTTGCAGTTTTGTGGGTAGTTGCACAGTGGTGGGTAGCTTGAACTGTAAACCCTGTTTACATAGAATTTTTTTGATTTTTCCAGGTGTTAGATGTGCGGCCCCAGACCGAGGCCATCCTGACTGCAGGGACAAGAGTCTGCGCCTACTGGAGCGAGCGATCTCGCTGTCTTTACCCTGGATACGTCCATCGAGGTGAGCGAGCAGAAACGACAATCTCACTTTGCACACATACACTGGGACATTCCCAGCAACTCATGTAGTGTCTCTCACACTCTTGTGTGTTGTACTTTAGGAGGTCCTGGTGAGGAGGAGAAGGAGGGCAGCGTGATGGTGGAGTTTGATGATGGAGACAGAGGAAGGATCTCCCTCGCAAACATCAGACTTCTGCCCCCAGGATACCAAATCCACTGTGAGCATGGCTTTAAAAATAAGGATGGAAAGAAAGACGTTCAGACTGACAGACTGAACTAATGAATGAATGAAAAGAAAGAAATTCCACCATTTAACAACTCTTCTCTGTCAGGTGCGGAACCCTCTCCAGCACTTCTGATCTCACCTGGACACCGTGGTCGGAGAAGCTCCACCCAGGAGAAGAAAGACACACCCACAGAGAAACCAGCCAACGAGGACCCAGCAGTGAGGCCCCAAGAGAAAAGACCAGGTGTAGCATCCTCTATCCTTTTGTTTTGTTACTCCCTTAAAAAACACACAATGTTTTGTAAAGCAGATACTTTTTAATGGAATATTAGACTTTAGTTGATTATGTATAAGAAAGACTGGCTGTCTATTTGATAAGACGGTCTGAGGAATCCACTCAGACATTAAACATTGCTCATACTGAAGCTTTAATATATGTTGTCTGAGAAGTACTGTCTAACTGCTAAACACATTCACAAAGACACACAGCCCTTCAGGCTGTACTAAAATCCCCCAAACAAGGCCCCTTTTACAGTTCCAAGTGTCAGCCAATTATCTGATGCCTCAGAGTCAGAGGAGCGCACTGAGTGGAAACATATAAACTCGTAAATTTACATTCCTTGTTTGCCGCCTATCATTTAGCCACTATATGACCACATTAATCATGATTTTATGAACTGTCATCAGTGTGCTTTGTGTAGTTAAGCAACTTGTAACTCGTCACAAACTCAGGGTGACAATAAAGCTGGGAGAGACAGGTTTACCAGGATTGTTGTGGTTTGAGTAATGAAAATGTCGAAACTTACCTGTCTTGGGTAAAGATCAAGGAGATAAACATATTAAGCTTCTCTAAAGCTCTTAGTTCCACAATTAATCTCAGTCCACTGTTATGATCTGTCAGTTCATATTGATTATAACTTCTCTCTGTTGCCGGCTCCTTTTTCAGTTGGCAGGCCGAAGAAAATCCACTCAGTGCCTAAGACTGCCAGCACACCGACATCAGTAACAGACACTGTGACCAAAGGCAACCCTTCCTCGTTGAACTGGTCCGCACCCAGGAAGAGACCGCCAGTTGACTTCTTCCTCTTCAATGGAACATCCCGTAAAACCCAGCGGAGGATACGAGAGCAAGACTTTGGTTTCTTTCATCGGCCCACCTCCCACCCTTTCGCACCTCCACTGCCTATCAAAGGCATCTTTGGCTCCCCTTTTGAAGGTGACTCATTCAGTAGCATTGCCAATGGCTTCTCTACTTTTGGAAGCAGTGGAAGCTCTGGAGCTCGGCGACCGATTAGCACAGTAGCTTCCGTAGGGACCCGGGACCCCTCGTCCTCTGCTTGCTCCTCAGCAGTCAACATGGCAATGGCAGCTGGAAGCAGAAAGCCAGTGAGCGAACGGGACAGGAAACAGTTCCTGGTGAAGCTTGACCATGAAGGAGTGACCTCTCCTAAAACAAAGAACGGCAAGGCTCTGATTCGACTCGGGGGGAGTGGAGGGAGAGAGTCACACAAGAGCAAGAGTCTCACCTCCACAGGGGCGCCGCTGCGATACATCCACCCTGCCCTGCTGGTGAAGGATGTCAAGAAGGGAGGAGGGGGAAGCGACAGCGCTGGGGTTCGTTCTGAGGCTAATACAAAGGGCCCTCCACCTCTGAGAAAAGATCTTCTGTCAACAGGAGGTCTTGGAGTCCAAGGTGGGGATTACAGTTTGGACTATCCAAGTGACTGTCCAAGCTCTTACTCTGAGCTAGATGAGGATGATGAGGATGATGGTCAAGATCCTGAGGCACGAGGAGGAAGTGCAACGGTCACATCCCACCGTGGAGGTCGTTTTCTCTCTCGTCTCTCCAACTGCTTCTCCTCATCTTCATCCTCTTCTTCCTGCTCCGGGTCCATCTCCTCCTCATCCCTCTGCTCCTCGGATAACGATTCCTCCTACTCCTCTGATGAAGAGTCCTCCTCTGTGCTGCTGCGCCGTGCACTGCTCCAGCAGGACAAACACAAGCACAGGCCTAACATGACCTCCGACCTCCCTGACCCTACCACCTCCAACTCGTCTCCATCCGCCTCAGCCCCGGCTCACGGCTATCTGGCAAAAGCCGGCATGGCCGTCTCGGGGTCCAAGGGGAGGGCTGACAGAGCAGAAGACAGGAAGGAGTTCATGTCAAAAGAAAGTATGGTGGCTAATAGTAGCAAGACCCAGCTGAAAAGGAAAGAAGGGATTCCTAACAGCCACCATCAGAGCCAAAGCAGTCCTGTGAGCCAGCAGCAAAAACCTGCCTCCAAGGACCCGGCAACAGCTAAAAGGCAGAGGATGTCGTCAACTGAGCCTCTATCTAACATGGCTCCCCTTCCGCCTGGACGCCAGCTCTGGAAATGGTCTGGCAACCCCACACAGGTAGGACACTTAAGGTTCTATATCTGTATTCAGTATCTTGTTGAAGAGATGGAAGAGAGCTTGTTATTTGGCTTGTTGTTTTTCCAAGATCTCGTTTTCTTTGGTAACCTGGTATTGATTTTTGTTGCAGTTTCTGCTGTGTCATACAGTGATTACATACAGTAAAGGCGACGAACAAATATGATCTCTCTTGGCATTGCTTATTCTGCCTTTGTACACATTGGTAACACTATCAGGCTTAATTGGTGTGGTTAATCTCTGAATTTGTTATCCAGATTATTAAGTCACGATCCTGAGATAACAGAACCAAACAGTTTGAGCAACCGCTGCCATTCGGCGCTTCCATGTTGTTTGCTTTGTTATCATGTCTGCATCTGTCGAGTGAGATGTGCAGCTTAAAAAGAAGCTGCGCCTTTGGT